TCCGAAGCCAGATCAGTCACACGAATACCACGATTGTGCTTTTCTATAATGTCCTTCTTCAGTTCGATCGTCACTTTTTTCTTCAAAGCCTTATTCTTGCGAAACCTGCTCTGCATTTTCTTTGGAGCCATGCTGACAAGCACACCAAAAACCTTCCAAACGCCACAAAACTGCTCTGCATTTTCTTTGGAGCCATGCTGACAAGCACACCAAAAACCTTCCAAACGCCACAAAACTGCTCTGCATTTTCTTTGGAGCCATGCTGACAAGCACACCAAAAACCTTCCAAACGCCACAAAACTGCTCTGCATTTTCTTTGGAGCCATGCTGACAAGCACACCAAAAACCTTCCAAACGCCACAAAACACACCACAAGCCTCACCGAACGTCTCCTTGCTATCGTGATCTCGCCCACAGGAAGCCGCGACCGTGTGGCAGCAGGGCAAATGGCCGCGGATCCGGTTCATAGCTTGAGGCGGAGTTCGCACGTCGAGGTAAATTTTTGGGGCCGGAGCTGGTCGTATCTCGAAAAATTTGTAAGGAGGGGCATTCATAACTCGAGGTACTACTGTACATTGTGGGTACTGCACTGGTCACCAATAAGTTCTGAGTGCATTTCTGAGTTTTAGTTTTGAATGTTAAAGCCCTACACAGATTGGGCCCTAGGTCCTGCAGCATAGCCTTCTCCAGTTAAAACCATCCTATATGGTGAGCTAATCTGATGGAGGAAGCTACCTATTTCCAGTATGTGACAGGTTAGTCTGGTGGGGTCCTTCTCTATTACAGAAACAGCCATTTCCTTATGAAACAGTTTCTTTCTGGAGGCTAGTCTGGTCCAGACTTTGACATTCTGCATAGCAGTGAAAATGGAGCTATCTTGGAGGGGTTTTGAAAGCCATACCAGCTACATTCATGGGTGCCTATGACTCATGTGTCTGGATAGGGATATTGTTTTTATTTTACTACTCCTATTTTATAGACCGCTATATAAATTTTCTTGTGTACTGACTTCATTTTATTGTTGTAAACTGATTTGAGCCATAAGATTAGATGGGATTCAGATAAAAGATGATAAAAGGATGATGAAGGACAACTTGGATGGAAGAGACAGTAGAAAGAGGAATCAGATGTGAAAGATAAAACTGTCCTTAAACCAAATAAATGAAGTGGCCATGGGGAAGACCTTGGCTATGAAGAACCACTGGCATATTTAATCAATGAAGAACTTCCCCTCTTCTCTTTTCTAAAAAAACTTGGAGATGTGGGGATGAAAACTGAACCTGTGACAATGTGGGCTGAGATATGGTTTGAAACCAGGCATGGCTGTTTTTCTAGTAACAGGCAGAGTTAATATTATACATTTTAGATTCATTAGATCAAGAGCATGCAGGCAATATCTACAAACAGAAGACTTTCCTCTTTGGAGAACATCAAACAACCTCCACACAACAGACATAAACAGCTGAACGGCTATCAATCAGTGAGATATAATAGAAACCTACATACCTGCCCAGTGACTTCTGAAATTAATCCCAGAGGGATTAAGCTTTCTGGTTCACTTGCCTGCCCTGCTTCATCCACAAATACATGTGTGAAATGTCCAAGTCTAGAATTGATGAATAAAAATTGGAACTGCTTGCAGTGTACTCTACATTCTCAGACGTCACTTTAAAAAATAATGAAAACTGTACCAAAGTAACATTGGTAAATCAAAAGTATTTCAATCCAGTTAAACCCATTATCAGATTTTGAGAAGTTAGTATGTTTTCAAGAACATTGGGATTCACAGTACAGTATTCTCAGTTGCCATATACCACTGTGCAATCTCAATGTCAAAATAGCAAGGGATGGTAATTATCCAATTTTGATTGTGGGGTTCTGAGAATGTCTTTTTGTGCAGATTAAGATATATTCTGGCCTAGTATAACTATAGTTTTCCACTATATTACTGAACTACAGTGTGAATGGATAAACATCTGCATTTTATCTCACGGTGTTAGTTATTCTTCTTGGAGGCTCATGAACAAGAAATAAAGCTAATTGTGAACTTTTAATTGCAACACATGCCTAGAAATCAGAACTGTATTGTCTTTGAAAAATGAAATTTCATTTATCTAAAAAGTCTTTGTAGCAGTATTGCCAGACCCATAGTGTGAAAGGTTGGAGGTCTCAAACCTCCTCCCCAAGAAGTCCACTGGACCTAAACACTGCTGCCACCACCTATCTTTTATAGGGTACCTACTTTATAGGGTACCTCACCTGGCATCTTTCCCCTAACCTATGTCTATGAGAGAGATATGTTTCTTTCCTGGCAAATAAAAGGGCAAAAATTAAATTAAAAAAAAATTCTATAGCAATCTCTGGGCCACATACAGTATCACGGAGGCATGTGGTTAGAGGTTTCTGCCCTTCCTTCCCACCTTGTAAATCTTGTAATCAATCTTACAAGAAATAAACAAAATCAAACTTTATTTTTAAACACCCTTTAAAAAGATGAAACATGAAACACCATTTACAAAAATACTTGTAATGTTTTTGGTAAACCACCTCATGGTGCTGGTTCACTATAATTAGGGCAGTATCTTAGCTTTTAATTTAGATCTCAGCTCATAAGAAGGTAATGAAAAATGCAATAAATCTTCTGGAAGCCAGTCTGAAATTATATAGAATGCCCTACTTGTGCAGAGCAAGATGAACAAGAGACAACATGGTTTAGCTATTATACATAGACAAAAGAAGTTAAACTTAACATAGCTTCTGACTAAAACTATTACCTAGTTCTTAATGACAACATGAATCTTGAATCAAAGTCCTCTGCTTCATTTCTCTGGACCTTTCCCCACTTGGAGTAATTCCAGCTATTTATTAGCTGTTGGGGAGGCAGTATATTGCCCATTTCCCTAGCTCAGGTATAATAGCTTCTTGCTCTCCACTCCTGTCTCTAATTTTTAACAAAAAAGAACTTTTTCTCTTATCTAGGAGTTAAGGGAATCTCCTGAGCATACATGCTAAAGCTCATGCATGAGATAAAGTGTGCATTCATACTCAAATACTTTTTGACTGGAAGGCCACAATATTGTGAACACAGGCTAACTATTTGCAGCAGCCTTTTACAATTTTTAAAATCTGAAATGTATTATTATAATCTCCCTCAATACTTGAAGTACCCTAGAAAGGTGGTGACAACAAGAGACAAATAGAATAAGGTCACTGTCATTTTTGTCCTCATGATTATATGTGAGATAGACCAACAGGCAATGAGGACATTTTGATAAAAAGTGGCATATTAAAATATTATCTCAAAACCTGTAATATCTCTACAATGAAACATACTGGGGGTGAGAAAACAGGGTTTTCTGTATGCTGAGTGTTCTTTTTGCCTTTCTAGAAGTTATTAAACTATTGTATAGGAAGTTGCTACATTTTTATATCCTACTTTTTCTGGAGTAGTCAAAAAAGCATGCATAGTACCTTATTCCTATCTGGTAGAACATTCCTGCACTGCTGCATGTCACAATAATTATTCGAAACCGAGATGCTTTCCAAATATCTTCTCCAGCTTTGCTGTAAAACTTTATTACCTCATTAAAAATCTGTCAATACAAGCAAGCACATGTGCTTTTAATATGCCTATCATAAGCTAAGCTTACATATTTTCAACTGTAGACAAAAGTCACTCTTTCCAATGCATATTATTTATTATATTATTATACTCAACTCTGAAAGGAGGGAAATGCGTCTTCATATCTATAAAGCATCCCTAATTTAATTTGTATCCCATCTCTCAATTTAGTTTTGAAAAACAGTGAGTGAGATCCTCCTCTCAAATGTTTTTGCTCTGAAGCACCATGTCTCTCCTTGCAAATCTGGCTTCTCTATCAACTGTTGTCTGCATTCTCTATCAACTTTGATCCCTTTGCATTGCTTCAGGTACCTGATTTCTCTACCTGTTCTCTTTTTATTCCTTTCTACCCTTCACTGCTGAAACGCTTAGAGGCAGGTATCGAGCACCTTCTCTAACATAGCACCTGCCCTCTGGAATAGTATTCCCCCATCCCCCGGAAGTTCAAGTAGCTCTAACCCTGCTGTCCTTTAAAATGGGTCTTGAAGACCTGTTTTTCCTCCAGGTTCTGGGTTAGGGGAATATGTGCCTTCTGTGTGCAGTTTATTACTGTGTGCTCCCTTGTTTTCACCATCTTTTATTTGCTTTAACATACTGGGTTTTGTTTTCAACTTATACACCACCCAAAATTGTTATGAGTTGGGTGGCCATATAAGTTTGATTTATAAATAAACAAACAAGTTACTACAATATTTCTCAGTATAAGATGATATAAGGATCCACTGTGTAAAGTTGTATCTGCTATTTTTCAAACTGTACAATATATTCATATAGCTCTTCACATTTGTGGTCTTTGTAAGTAGATTCTGTAACAAAATTGCAGAGGCGTAACGCAATTATGAACTAGTTTCTGTTCAGGATTCATTTCATCTGGAAGATCTATAGTTCTGAAAATATCCAATTCAAAGAAAAATCTCTATTTCTTCTATTAAGCACTGGAACCTAATAACATGTCTTTATGCCCTGATGGGAACCTTGGAGAATTATTCTCTCAACCCTTTCTACATCTTGACTCCCATTTTTCTCATTGAAAAACTGACCTATTGATTCCATGATTTAAGATTCTATCATTCAGGAGATATCACATTCAACAATTTGGGAGGGAGACATTAGAAAGTAGAATTTACAGGTGGTACGTGGGTAACTTGGAAAACAGTTAAACAGAGATAAAAATGAACTAATTGGTTATAGCTAATTCTGAGCTTCAAATGTACCATTTATCTAATGATGAGACAGAATGACACCCAGAGCAAGAAAGTCTTTTAGATACATTTTTACCTCTTCATTTCTGCTGGATGCATTAACTCTGACCATAACTCCTGGCTTTAACGACTTGCTGTCATGAAGTCGTAAACAAATAAGATCTGTTGCGCTGTTTGATGGTGCACAGACTAGTATTCGGCTGTCTGGTAAACTGTAATGTATCTAATTAGTAGAAAACAATCATTCATAAGTTGTGTTGTTAATAGATACTCTTAATAGAGTCAGCAGTTACATGGTATTTTTTAAAAATTATATTGAACTAATTAAGTTCCAATATTTTTTTTCTTTCCATGCTAGATGTGCATATACTTACTAGAATTACTGAAGACTGAGACAGGCATAAACACAATATACAGAATATTTCAGTAATCTACAATTATGCACTGGTGCTTTTTTTCTTTCTTTTGGTCCATCATAAAAGGTTACAATTATCTATAGCGTGCTTTTTCAAACATAAACAAATGCAGCGTTCAAAGCAATGCTACTGTAATTATTCCCAGATTATTTTAAGGTAGACAGAAAAGCCCTTATTATTTTCAAAGTTGCTCATGCATGTTAAAACTCTGTTATATGCAGATGAGAAAATCCATCAGCAATTTGCTATCATCCAAAGCAACGAGAATTCATACACAAAGTATCTTCCCAAACAACATAGATGAATAAACGTTTAACAAAAAGTTAACATTACTAAAAACAGCAGAGACACGAACTGGTTACAATTCACTATTACCTGCAAAATTGCTTCAATAATTGTGACAGTTTTGCCAGTTCCTGGTGGCCCAAATAGGATATAAGGAGTTGGGCGACATTCACCACTAAGAATCCTTTTAACTGCGAGTTTCTGATGCTCATTCAGCAGAGGATTGAAAAAGTCACAGTCTTGTCTATTCCAAGTTGGGATTCTATTTACTATATCCAAAATTATGTATATTAATAAACATTTATTATAGTGCACAAAATTTAAAAAGCGGTATTTGGAAATATCTTAAAAATTACAGTAAGTTTCAAAATACATACCCGTTTAAATAGGTAACAATCAAATATAGAACATCTGCTCTATGATATAGCAACAATTGACAAGCATTTAAATGGTACCCTCTAAACCACTTTGTATTATCCCAGGACAAAATTATACCAACTTGTTTGTGTGGCAACAGTAACCATATCAGAAACAACAACTGCCCTTTCATTTTTTGGCATTCCTTTTTCGTTTTCTATCCTTTCTTCCTGGAAGCAGCAAAAAGAAGAAAATTATCAACATTTGTAATGTTTTATTTAATCCACAGCTTTGACACTCTAACCCTAACTCAAAATAGTCACATGCAGATTCTAAAAAGTTCTTGAAAAGCTTACCATCAGAAATGTTAATGTTCTGATGCATGTACTTAAATACAGCATTCATATGAAGATACTGTAGTGTACATGTGGTCATTCTGACATCGCTGAGGTTTGCTATTGATGATGCTGCTGCTTCCAAGCCTAGTCAAAGCTAAGCCAGATGCTCTCACTTGCCAACACTTATGTGCTACTAAGCTTTTACTTAAGAACTATTAAGTATTCAAGACCCTACTTCTGCCAGAATGATCCTGACATTTCTGTCCAAAAACTACTGCTAAATAGTGATTATAGCAGGCTGGCCATGCAGGTTGCAAGTTACAATTTAAAACACCTCAGTACATGGGTATCTTCAGGACCCCCTTCTCCTAGGGGCCTGCTGCTCAGCCATTAAGATCTAGAACAGAAATCTCCCTCTGGGCACTAGTCCCTAGGAAATATCATCTTCAGGGATTTTGGAGGTGAATCTTTTCTGCTGGTGCCCCTTTTTGGGAACCGCATTCTTCCAGAGATCAGACTGTCCCCAACACTCTTGGAGATTTGTAAAGACACTAATCCATCTTGCAAGGGAGCATTTGTTTGGAAATGTGTTATTTCTGGTGCTCAGTTTGTTATTGATGGCTATTATTATATATTGTGTATTATGGCTATTATACTGTGTTCAAACTGTATTACAGGATAAGGTAAAGCTGTCCAGAGTTCATTAGGATTGGAGCAACATATAAGCCTAATAAAATATAGGAAAATACTGTGTTAGCTGACAATAGCAAATGAACACATTTCACATTTTTCTTACAAATGAGCCGTTTCAGTGTTAAAATACTACAGCAAGAAATTAATGAATGGAGATGCTTACCTTAGCTTCTTGTGTAAAGCTTTGTTTTAGAAGGTTGTAAGAATATTCTGAATCATGCGGCTGCTCATGGATTTGTGGTGATTGCACAATAAGAGTATCAGGAAACAAAACTTTGGAACAAAGAGCAAAAGAGAAAGAGAAATAAGAATTTAATAGAAGCTGTGATTACAGAAGTTGCTAAAATATTTATCTGTCTTTTGGGGATCTTTAAAAGAGGAAAGTTCCAACAATAACTTGCCTCAACGTGTCTTGTGTACTGAAATAGTAATAATGGGGGAAAAAATCTAGACTATTACAGTTTCAGCAAAAATAAATGCATAAAGAGGGAAGACATAGCATACCCTTTTCTCCTAAATGGATGGCTTGTTCTACTGCAAAATGGCATCTCCTGATTGTTGTCCTGTCACAAGTTCAGAATAAAAGCCAAAACATAATTGTCAAGAGATCAAAACAGTAAGCCTGATCAATATATAATGCTCAAGACTGCTGTTATATATGAAGATAGGAAAACATGTCTAAATCCATCTGTTTTTGCTCGTATTTCTTGCCTTAGCAGCTACAAAACATGCCATCTATCCAAAAGAGTATTATCCTACATTTCCCTAAATTGAGAAGGGTGGGGGGAGGAATGTGTTATCTTTAAAAGTGCCTGGGAATGGCTCATGATTAGAACTGGTACCAAAAGAACCAGACTATTATTTAAAAGGTTATATGAAATATTTGAAATCTTACATTAAAAACGCATTCCTTAACAAAATAGATGTCATTAACAAACAGAAGCTCTGAAATGGCAACAGATACTCTGATTGTTACAGGACTGCATATTTCTGTTCCACGTGGTGCCCAACAGATAGCCCAAGAAGATTGGAATCAAGGAATGCTATGTGATTACCACCCCATTTTAAAATTTGTTAGATTGAATTATTTTGGGATCCTTTAAGATTAAAAAGTATCAGGGTGGAAAATGTCTTCCATTAAAACTTATTGAGTTTGAAATGGCCTTTTTAAAGATTAAAACAGCTGTCTCAACCTTGCTGGAAGTGCTACAATACCCTTGTGACCTTGCTGACAGCATTCCAAGTTGACATGCTTTGTGTACCACTATCAAAAAGCTGTCCGTATTTAAGCAGTTTGGTGTTCTGCAGCTTTGTTTCTGGATTCAGCATATTAATAAAAACATGAGACAATCAATGTCACTGTTACAAACAGAAAACCTAGAATCCTTATTTGTCATCATCATGCCTGAGGTGGAGTTGTCATTTTGCTCCTCTGGAATTATGAAGACTTATCTTGAACAAGTCATTTTAGCATAGAGTTGAGCAACTCCGCAAACCAAATGTCACATTTAATTACTTTGGAGGTAGAAACATTCTGTGTTTGTGTCTGTATGAATATTCCTGAGAATGGGACTCTAACCTGAGCAAGGATTAGTGCAGTTTTCATGACTATAACAGAAAGGAGAGTTATTTAAACATACATTATAGACAAAACCTAGCAGGAGGAGAAAAAGAACATGATGTGCTCCATATGTATGCCTGGGAACAAAGGCAGAAGGAAGTGACCCGAGATTACTAATCTCAGCAACAGCACAAAGAGTGATAGACAAAGAGGTGACACAGAGTAAATTCTTAACTGCTGCTAAGTCATATCCCACTACTTCCCTCCACTCTGTTCACCAGGGCTGCTAGCACTGACATTCAGGTCTTGGGTGTTCGCAGTCACTCTGAGAAGGTTCTATAGGACATTCCATATTGGAATTTTGAGCCAGTTTAGAAACAGGTTCTTACAACATCAGCATGCTACAGAGTTGAACTGATTTATTTCTGCTCAGCTGCAGAAATTATTTCAGCTCAGCTGCCAAAAGTTACTTTTGTGGGGAGGCTGTATAGCTCTGCTTCCCCATGGGGGGAAATTCCTACCTCATCCCCCCTGTTCAGGTTTTGTAAGGGGAATGCTAGCCTCACAACTTTGCAGCTGTCCCTGGTAATTCAAAAAATGACCAGTGAAGTTGGCAAATGTCTGTTAGTTTTCTCTTGTTTCAGCAGGAAACCTACACAGCATGTAAAGCACTAACTTACTCCCTGCCCGCCCCTTTTCCTTTAGTGTAGAGTGGCAGAGGGGTGAAGAATGTTGCTGTAGAATCTGCAGCAGCTTAAGGAAGGACTGCAGATTTTGTTCTTGGTTCTCAGCACTTCACATTCACAGAAGTAAAAACAATTATGGATTGCCTTCAAACTGCAATGTATTATGGCTGACCAAGAGATTTTTTGGAGAAGTTATTAAGTTGCTCCCTTATTCTTACAAATATTAGCAGGCACCCAGAGAATTCTCTGACCATTCTCAAAAAAAATTTTTTTTTTTTTAAATATTGTCAGGGCTCATATAATGATGATTAACAGGTACCTTTAAACAAAAGCAATCATGGTCTTCTGTCATGGGTTGCAAAACAATCCCTTAAGGCCCATCTTTTACCAACATGAACATTATTTTTTTATACATTTTGAATGCTTGAGAGAAGCAGGTTTCAGAATGTAGTCTCCTGAACTGGCAAGAATGTACACACTTTGCTCTACAATGAACTGAGATGCAACTATTCAAAATAGTACCTGCTAAGAGTAAATTCCACATCCATAGGTTCAAAATTATATGCCTGTTCAAATTCTGAGTTGAGTTTCAGAGTAACATCTTCATCATGAATCTATATAAACAGAAGAAACCAACTAGCTTTTACTTCATTACAATGCCTGCACTCAAGAAATTCTAATTCAAGAAAATACCAAGAGATAAATTTTATCTTCCTATACAAAATATTTAACAGGTTTTTGATTATTATACCAGCTGAGGTTTCCAAAGATTGGAGGCACTGAACATATCTAAGAACCTGATATGAAGTCATAGAAATTAAATGAAAGTTTAAATGCAGTAAATTCCAAGTTTAAAAAACCCAAAACTTTAGAAGTCTAAAGATACAATTTTATATCACTGACATGGAAATAATCCCTAATAATGCAAGAGAGTTACTTTTAAATAAATATGGCTTAGCTACATTATGGAAGACAAAAACGTACAAAAAATAATAAACCAAAAAGAATTAGTTAACTTACCTCAGTAATATATGCAACATAGTGTATTATCAGCTCTGAATAGTCTTGGCTCTTTAGTATCACTTTGTCACCTAATTTAAAATGTATATATTAAATTATTTCCCTTGGTACCAACTAATAATTAATAATTAATAATAATTCTACTCAGGGAATGGAATAAAAAAAATCTAACCATATCACTATATCAAAGGCAAAACAATTATTAAGATATTGTTCTCTATTAGCCTTCAAATGTAAGAAAATGTTAGAATTATTCTGTGGTTTCAAGAGCTTTTGAATTTTTATAACATGTGAGAGCTGACACGCACACATACAAGTAGCTGGTATTAAATTTTTACTCCTTTTGTGAAAGAACCCCCCCCCCCCACCCCCAAGTAACATTACTTGCAAGAACAATAATGGCTGTAGTTTATAACTAGGACAAGAGCTTCTGTCCATTCCTTTCACATGCTGCTCCATCCTATTTGCATGCCTTCCAGGTCTTGGGTTCCCAATTACGAAATTCTCTTCCCCTCCTACTATAGCTCCATATATTAATTAATTATTAAACATATAGCCTGTTGCAACCTAGCAATTCTCCATGGCTCACATAATGTATAATATGGCAAAAAAAATAAAATATTCACAGTATGATTAAAATGAAACAAGTAACAAACAAAACAGCAGTGCTAACAATAAAAAACAAAACAGAGAATAAAAGATGGTGCAGAGCACAAAGGTAGGGGTATGTTCTCTGAAACAATTCCTTTCTCCATATTTTCTTAAAGGCCAAAAAGGAGGGTGATCGCCTGATTTCTGCCAGGAAGCCATTCCAAAGTATTAGCACTGCCACAGAGAAGCAGCTTCTAGCTTCACACACACACACAGAAGTCTGGGACTATACAAAGCTGTTTCCTGGAAGATCTAGTGGGTCGGGCACCATGTGCCGATGTGCCAAGCCATAAAGGGCTTTAAAGTCAATACCAGCACCTTAAATTATGCCTGGAAACCAATCAGCAACCAGTGTAGGGCCTTCAGAATTGGTGCTATATGTTTCCAGAGCCAAGAGACAATGTGGGTCACTGCATTCTTGACCAGTTGTAGTTTCCGAGTAGTCTTTTAAGGGTAGTCCCATGTATGGTGTGTTGCAGTATTCTAACTGGGTGGTAATGAGGGCATGAGTTACTGCAGTTAGGTCCTCCTGCATCAGGTAAGGCCATAATTGGTGCACTCTTCTATCTGCTGTTCAAGCAGGAGCCATAAGTCCAGAAGAATCCCCAAACTGAACCTGCTCCTTCATGGGTAGTGCTTGCCTGAGATATCAGTGGTATGAATGGAGAATCCCAACGCACAACTGTGTATCTTTAGATACCTTTAAGAAAGATTTCAAAACTTATTCAATAGAGCAGACTGATTTGTGAAAGGGGTTGTGAGCAGATGCTGAAAATAGCAATTGTTAGATGGTAGGGCTGCTTTGTTATATTATTAGCAAAGTTAGATGGCAGAGGTATCAGGTTATTGATTTTATAGTAATATAAAATGAAATCATTTACTGTGACTGTAAATACACCATAAACACAAACATGTCAATGCACTGTTTTTATGTAATTCTAATAGTTCTTTAATTTTTGCTAATTGTGACTGAAGTTGGAATGTGCCCTGGTTGATTATAAATAAAATTCTTGCTTACTTGTTTAGTATATTGAGAAAAAAACTAAGTATATTACTAATATGGTCCATAGCCAAAGGCTTTTAATTGTGGTTCACAAAGACAGAAAACCAGTTTGAGGACTGCAGAGTATTGCTATTGTGTTTAAAGCACTACCTGGGCATAAAGAAGGGCGTCCCTCTGTGACCCCTGGCACTTCAAGTACTAGGAAATTTCCATTCTTTTTCAAGGTGACCCCATACATGGTGAACTCCTTCAATTCCATCTCTTCACAGATTTCTTCAAGCCACAAAAGAGTAGAAAAGTTTGACCGATAATTAGCTAGAGTTAAACCCTGAAACACAAGACGGGTGGAGAAAATTTGCATTACAGGAGCTGTACATCATGGAGAACGACCTGTGACCTATCAGATCTATTCTCAGAATTAGTGATGCTGCTTGGGGCTGTGGGGAATGGTACCTCAGAAACATTTGGATACTAGAGATTCCCCATACCTGCTCTAGATCCTATAAACCTCCATGGTTTATAGACATGGAAATGCAAACTCAATGCAGTCAGATGCTACTTTCAAGAAAGGCATCATGTACATTGCATCTTCAGATTGTCTGAACATCTTTCAGTTTAAAAGGTTCACACTCCACTATAAACCAAAGGGAAGAAGCAGGTCATAAAGAGGGGAAATGAATAAATGTTCCAAACTGTGTTTTATATCTTTAAAATCAATGAAAGACAGTTGCTAGGGCAGTTAAGTCTTCTCTGTTGATTTCTATAAGGGAAGGCAGAAAAAAATCAAAATCATTTCCCTCCTTCCATAATGATCATGCAATCATTTCCAGAACTTTCCATAAGTTCCTCCCTGAATTTGGGGTTTTCATAAGCTGTACGCCATAATCATCACAATTATACCAAAGTAAGGCTTGACATATCTCGCTTTGCATGTAATGCGTCTATCAATTATACCAAAGTAAGGCTTGACATATCTCGCTTTGCATGTAATGCGTCTATCAATTATACCAAAGTAAGGCTTGACATATCTCGCTTTGCATGTAATGCGTCTATCTCATATATTGGTTTCACCTTTTGAGTTGCCTTACTGACATAAATGAACATTTGCACGATATTCTAATTTTTTGAGTTTCACCTGTACTTTCTTATAAAAGTCCATTCTAAACCACTGTTCTTATAAGTTAGCACTTGGTTGCAAATTTTTCTCCCCTCACTGGTAGCACAGAAAAATAGTACCTTTTAGTTATGCCAATTTTTTTGCCTGAGACCTTTGTTAGACTGGACCAAAGACTTATCTGCCCTGGCATTCTGTTTTTTCACTGTGACCATCCTGAAGCTCTTAAGAAAGCAAAGGCAGGATGTTCAGGTCAAGTTTCAAGGGTTTATTCTCTACAGTTAATAAAAGACATGTATGGTCTAGTGCAGTCTTTCTCAGCCTTTTTATCCTGGAGGAGCCCTTGAAATAATGTTCGGGTCTCAGAGAACCCCTGCATAAAAATGGCAAAAAATACAAACATTTCATAATACGATTCAGTCCTATCCTAATAACATTCATTTTACAATATTTATAACAAGAGAAAAACAGCAGGCTGGCAGCTGTGTCACAGTGTGTAAAAATTCCTGCCACTGTGAGCACTAGCACTGCATAGCACAAGATGTTAAATTCCAGTTGAGAAAGGTTGGTCTAGTGTAACACATGTGCTGGCCTTAAAAAAATATACTGATGTATAATATTCTGGATTTAGTCATTCTTACTAGCAAGATAGATGGCTATAGTTATACCAGAGTCATGCATCTAAATTGGTAGAGATCTTTAGTGCAACAAGTCATCTTACCTCTCCAAGGTCTGGATAAAAAATTAATATATCAGATTTCTTTTCCACACATTTTCTTACTCTGTCTGGAATAGGGTACTGTGGAATGAAATTTGGTAGCTGCCTCCTTAAGCTTCTAAGATAATAGAAAATCAAAGTAGTAGTTAATACTCAAAATACACAAAGCAGTTCTTGCATTTAAAGTCAGCCAGTTATGGTGAAGCTTTATTTAGCAACATTAAGAAGTCTAATAATCCACTACAACATACACAAGACCATGATATTCATCAATAATTTTCTCCATACCTATCAAATTCCCTGTTGATACCTCTGGTTAATTAAACATTAAAAAATAAAAATAAAAATCATGCTCTCTGTTAGTACTTCAAAGTTGAATGCTGGCTTCCAGCCAACTGCCACTCTTATCTTTGACAATGAGTCTGGTAACACCTTTTCCAACTAACAAATTTTATTAAAAGGCATACGCTTTTGTAAACTTATTAATAAAGTTTGTTAGCTGGTAATAAAGATATTACCACACTCCTGATTTTTTGCCACCACGGACTAACATGGCTCTCCTCCTACAACATCTTCCACAAAGTCTCTGACTTTTCACTCTTAAAAAGAAAAAGATGTAGCAACTTTGAGGTTAATTTCCCCAGAAGGAAGCTATAATGATCACCAGGAGGTACTGGGTGACTCGTGTTGTCCTTATGGGGTCAATAAAAGATCACATGGTACCTCCTGGTGGTCAGTATAACTGAAAACACCACACAGAATATACACTGTGTAAAAATAAAGAAATTCCCCCTCCCCACAAGAGGAGTGTGTAGAAGTCCGGTAAAACCCTGTTCATGAGTGCATGACAGAAGACGCTATCTGTGTCTCTCTGCTCTGGGAGCTTAATGGAAAGTAGACTGTATATACCATTATGATAGCATCCCCAGAAGGGAAAATGGTCACTGATAAGATGGCATGCTTGGAGGGAACACAGTGAGAAAAGTAAGGTTCGGCATGACTTAGGAGGATGAAAGGAAGAAGTCAATTGGAATAAAGTGAGGAAGAATGCAGAGAGCACAAAAAACAAGGGTCTCTGCAGAGCCTGTCAGCAAGAGGCGGGGATAATCCATGGGGAAAGAGTCATTATACATATATGAATGTCGTGACTCAGAGTGCTCAGGTGTGAAAGAGAAACAACTAACTGCTTGTTGGAAAACCTGTATGGGAGGAGTTGGGAACTGAAGTACAGAACGAACAGTGCATTCAGAAGAGATAAACTGTGTTTTGCGGCTCAAACCAATCTTTGCTTCATGTCTACATTCTTGGGAAGTTGTCTTGTGCAATTTGATTATGTCTAATGTGGGGCTTTTGATCCCAGTCATACACACTTGTGATGACACCCATAATCCTCTCTTCAAATTTCCATTCTAAATGGAGACTCTGGACCAAACACATAGACACAGATGATTAGCAATCAACTAACCTTAGCCAAGCATAATTAAAAAGGTAACAGGTGTGAAGAATACAGAAAGGAAGATAATTATCCAGGCAAGCACATCTCAGTGGTTTAGTACAGATTCTCGCGTATTTCAACAGAGATTTTCAGACATGACGAAAAAGTCACGTCTGAACAACTGTAATGAGCACAGTTCCATAAAAACACATGGATACTGCTATTGGTTCAATGTATAACAGCACAGCTGTTCTGAAATGATTTGTAAAACAATTTTGGAGAAAGTTTCAAGAAAATGCTACACAGACAATATGCGCTTCTTAAAACTAAGCAGAATGCAATATGTTTTAAATGTTGAGAAGGTATTGCTAAGTCACCAGTTGGGGGAGATGGGCAGCACACAAATGTAAAAATAAAATAAAATAAAATAAAATAAAATAAAATAAAATAAATAAATAAGAAAACAGATACTTCTGATGGTCCTCTTTGAGAATTCAAATGTATAGGGCTCTGAGAAAATTGAAACTGAATAACTGTTTCTCTTCTCATGGTAAAGAAATGATTGATCAAAAGCACTCAAGTCCGCAAAAACAAAACCCGGGAACCTTGATTTCTTAAAGCAGGTAGTTGAAATAGACTTATTCTACTTCCTTGAAGTGACTTCCACTGATTGTATTTGTATTAATAAATCTGTGAAAGTAATCATGATCCTTTAAAGACATACACACAATCATGACACCAATGCTTAAAACAATTTTTACTGAATAAAAGCAAGCAATTTATTTAAAGTGGATTTAATCTTACTCTAATTGGCAATACCTTTTCAATTTTGGTAAAATCACTGTTGCTTTTGTGTTCTGGAGTTCAGAAGTGACTTGACATTTTCTCTGGGAATACTGCTCAGTAACTGCTATCAATGACTCTTCTTCTGTTACTACAGTTGCTTCAATGTACCGACCAATAATGCAGTCAGAAAAACACAGCAACAGAAGTTCTTTGCAACGGCCAGGATTTCTTGAATAAAAGAAGAATTCAGTTAAACCCATAAACAAGACAAAGCCTATGGTAAGGTTGTCTTTTATCCCATGATATGCCAGGCAGGAGAATAAGATGATCAGATGACAAGCATGTGAACCATATTAGTTGCTTGTTTTAAGAACAGACTGGGTGGTTCAGGCACACCAGCCTTCTCCAATCTGAACAATACCAATAACCAACACCACTCACTATCTGTAGACTTTTGGATTTATAGCAAGTACTGTCTGTTTTGCCTTTTTTGGGCCACGTTGGCTGGGAATTCTGGGAACTGTTAGATCAGGAAGGGATCACATTGGCAAAGGCTGCTGTCAACTAAAGAAAAGCTGTATAGTATGCATCTAACAGTGTTTGTGAATGAAGGCCAATACAACTAATAACTCCTTTGACAGTAAATGTTTAGTTCCAGAAGGTGTAAAGCTGACATTATAATCAGTCACAAGGATGTTAGACAGAGAGAAAAAAGTCCCTCCTAATGAACTACTGTACAAGAAAACACTAAACTGCTATTCTGCATGTCTCTGGTTATTTCAAACTACCAATGTAACTGAATTGCTTCTGCCTGTTTGTCATGCCAAATTTGTTCAAATTCTCATTGATCTTACAGGTTCCTAATGAGTCAGCTGTTCCAGTGTCATAGTTTAAGACAAGGACAGACAATCTGCTGCCCTCCAACCCCTACCATCTCAGACCAACTCCCATCAGTCCCAGCTACCATAGCCAAAAAAAAAAAAAAAAGTCCAAACATCAAGAAAGTGGATACCTGCCCTAGGTTTCGAGATTATGATCAACACAGATGACTGAATCAAGTAATAAAAACTTTGATTATAATTTTCTTCAATTATTTTACTGGTTTAACCTCACTACAAGAAAATTTTGTTGTGAATTCAGCTAGGATGAATTCAATAGACTTCAGGGTCACTGGTGAATTCCCAGACAGCTTGAACAAATTCCCTCCTGGATGTTTGCTATGTCCTCACTGAGATCAATTGCTACTCATCACTCCTAAGTTCAGATTTTGGATGAGTGGAATGTTATATCATAAATGTTGCATTTTTTTCATCCTTTCTCATGAAGCCTTACCTTACCAAGTAAAAAGCAGATACACAAACTCACAAAAGAGGGATCTAAAGTAGAATTGGCATGATAACATATAATCTGTGTTTAATGCCTTTGGGCTATCAATTTGAATTTTGGCTTCCAACAGAGAAAATCATACATTATTATTTCACAAAACTGTAATCAGAAAAAAGGAAACACACTTTGCAGTGCATACAACAATTATAGAAGTCTTGCTCCCAGAAGGTAGAGGTACATTTCTGCTAGGTCCTGCTGTTTCTTCTCCTTCATAGTCTTGGTTTTTTCCACAATTTAGATTTTCAGATTGTCCAATTACAGAATTACCATGTTCTCCAGTATTGCTTAGGTACGTAAATTCACCTTTTACAAAACAAAACAAAGCCAAATCAAGTTACTCTAACTAGGGTAGGAATGGAATAAGCTATTAAATATTAGAGATATATTTACTTGAAGTAGCTCCATCTGGGACAGTCAATGCTGAAATTCTTTTAGAGCACGTCTGGTTCTTTTCTGGCAGCTGGAGACAGAACTGCTTCTCTTTATCCCAGCCACATAATTTGCAGCTAATTAAAGAATGCGCCATTTTACCTTTGTTTCTGAAATAACACCACCACTTTGCATCTCAATATCTGAATATACTGTATATAAGAAATCATGATAGCTCAAGATGCATAATACATTTTAATAGGATAAAAAATAATTCCACAGTGGTAAGAAGATACTCTATGACAGTTTTATCCCGAATCATTAGCAATACGAGGACAAGAGACTGTATCCACTGAGGTCTTTCTATTTGCAGGGCTTTTCAGAAGGCCTCTATGAATTAAATAAAGTTAGCTTAGAATGTATTTGTGATTATATGCATGAAGCTTGTATTTTGCATACTGCTGTACATTAAGAAAATAATAAAAAAAAATCTTGGCCATGTCTTTTGGATCTAGTAGGAAAATACACTCTGTACGAAAAACATTTTTTTCCATACATTAGATAAGCATGACATTTCTCCTCAGCCTGCCTGATGCATGGAGGTCTGGCATTTTTCCTGTGCATCAGGCAAGCTAAGATCACTCTAAATCAGTGTTTCTCAGCCTCAGCAACTTTAAGATGTGTGGATTTCCACTCCCAGAATTCCCTAGCCAACATGCTGGCTGGGGAATTCTGGGAGTGGAAGTCCATACATCTTAAAGTTGCCAAAGTTGAAAAACACTGCTCGAAGTGCTTGTTGAATACACAGAGGAAAGTGCTTTAATAATTCCTTGCCTTTCTCAAGAGGAAAGACATCAGGAACCAAATTGGAACTGCACTGTTGGAGTTCTAGTTTGTCATGTGCAGCTGCTACACAGGGAAAAGGGACGTGGGTAGGCCAGCCTTGCATATCAGAGTAAGCTGTGGATTTAAGTTATGATCAACATTTTAAAAGAAAATCCTGGGCAATAACAAAACCAACTTACTCTATGCAGATTTCCATATTTTTGCTCACTCCTAATTTGAGTTTTCCAAAATCCGTCATTTTTGACACCTTAAGTCCTTCTTTGTCTTTCAATAAATTTTCATCTGACTCAGTCAGATGTATGTCTTGAGATAGCAATGATCTGAAAGCAGAAGGAATCAGAACCCATGTACTAGTATCACAAAACTTAATTTATAATAATTTAATAAAGCTATTCAGATCAAATTTATTCATTGCGACCATGTAAAATCAACAGCTAATATACACTTTTCACCCAGTATCTTTTTTTGAAACTTAACATGGACCAAACTTTCAAAAAGCAAATAAAAACACAAGCACAGCTAATGCCAATTTAATAAGATACATTTTATTAAAAACAAGTTTTTGAGAAGAAGTTAGAACATTTATTTGACTGCTGGTTGTGAGTTCAATTAATTAAATATTAATTAGTGTAAACTTTTGAAAGTGTGCCTACAAAAATCCTTTTTTAAACAGCTCTTTAAATTTTTTACTGTTACTATGAGCTATCCTTGAGTTACAAAACAAATGTGGATAATAAACATGTTATCCTCAGCTATCCTAAACCAAAACCAAAGAAAAATAAGATGGAATAGAGTACAATAGAATAGATGCTATTTTATTCAGTACTATACTTATTGTCAAATAGGAACACTTTATAAACCTGAATCAAATAATTTTGTAAGAATTATAAAAACGGCATTACCCATTTTTGTCCGTTGGAGCCATGCAAAGTGCTCTCCAAATATAACAGGACTGATTACTCTCCACAACCACAACATTGACCAAATCATGTTTATGGGGCAAATAATCATTAGGAAGCCTCAGAAAATCCAGACTGAAAAATATACTGTCGTCTACCACACCAGTTCTTCCACATACACTGGAAATACGAATCTGGAATAATTGTAGTTATTAGATCAAATAAGAGTATAAATGGTTATAATCTAATGCCCCACTATAAGCTAATTGTATGCTTAATACATGCAGATTAATCATTCCTGATAAGCAGAAATGATTAAACATGTTTGTATCTTCTGTGTTTTATTTAGCATTATGTGAGAAGAAGGAACCCTAGCTTGTTTATCTTCTAATACAGTTTATGACTTCTGGGTTTCAGTTCCTTACCAAAACTGTAAGTCACAATGTGCCTGTATTGCAGAAAGAATTCTTGCTCTACAAGTCCTGATAGCCAAACATTAACTCTAGATGCAGAACTTCTCTCTGTATCAGTTGCTAGAGATGCAAGATAGAGGCTGCTACTGGACTTGTATCCTGCTTGATTCCTGAGATGAACTTTAATCTGATCTAAAAGAACTCTTTTCATATTCTTACAGAAAAAAATTGACAACACCAGAAAAGACTTTACAGCAATTTAACTGCCAGATCTCCGCCCCCCCAAAAACTAATAACTGTACAGGTAGTCCTCGACTTACAACCATTTTTTTAACGACCGTTCAAAGTTATGACAGTGCTAAAAAAAAAAAAACTTACGACCAGTCCTTGCACTTATGACTGTTGCAGCGTCCCTGCGGTCATGTGATCAAAATTTTGGAGCTCGGCAACCAGCATGTATTTATGATGGTTGCAGTGTGTCAAGGTCACTTGATTGCCATTTGCAACCTTCCCAGACGGCTTTCAACCTAGCAAAGTCAATGGGGGAAGCTGGATTTGCTTAACGACCACGGTAAAAAAAGGTAGTAAAATCAGGTGCAACTCATTTAACGACCACATTGCTTAGCTATGGAAGTTCCACTCCCAATTGTGGTCATAAGTCAAGGACTACCTGTAATCTTGTGAGAGGATAAAGACAATTTGCTTTTAGACTAGTATTTTAGTGCTTCTACTGGATTTAAGTTGGAAGATGTTTTATTGCAACAAAGAGATTTCATGGCTATTAGACAGAATCAGAATTATTCTAAGCTGAATGCATCAAGACAGTTCCTACTGTGGTTACTGATCTCTCCTCCCACCATTAATACAGTAGCTGAAATATCAGTAAGATCTCCCAAAGTATTACACATACCTTGTCAATTCTTTTATACCTTAAGGGCTTTACAGATATGGCTTCACTGGTCCAAGTTGTTGGGTTGACAATATATTCTGCTTGCACCCAATCTCCTTTACAAGGATAAAAGCCTTAAATATAAAATAAAAAGTGGCATGGAGAAACTCTGATTCCGTTAAAAGGGAGGCAATAGTCCTGTACAAAATGGCACTGCTTGACTTTGTAGAGCTGCCTAAGTTCTGATATGAAGCTATGCCACAATATGGAAAAGCTAAGTGCTCTCCCTCAACACCTCCAATCAGAGCAGACCACTTCATTTTGATACAAAGTGTAGCACTGTTTTGCTTGACAACTGCATCACAGAAACAATTTTGTCAAACACTCCACTGAAGTGAAGTATTCCTTCCAGGCTTTGCACAGTTAATAGAAGATAGAATCTTTTCACACTGCACTATAACTTATCCAAGTGCTGGATTCCAAAAGAAAACAACTGAAGCAGGAAAAAAGATATGCACTTCAGCAGTCCATACATATTTTAATCACATCTAAAAGTAAGCAAGCTATTCAGAGATAAAGATCTTTTGCTAGTGAGCAATTTTTTTTAACTTTAACATTTCAAGATCGTAGATTCCAATCTATTTATTTATATATACATACATACACACATTTATTTATTTACAGGTGGCCTTGTTTAATGACCACTTATTCAGCAACTGTCCAAGTTATGACAGTGCTGAACTAATGGTAGTTACGATGTTGCAGTGAACTGTGGTCATGTGATCCCAATTTCCTATGTTCCCTGCCAGCTTACCACAAGCAAAGTCAATGGGGAAGCTGGCAGGAAGTCGGAAGTCATGGTTACATGAGGTCCTCACTTCACAATAGCAACCCGGACTGCTGGAACTGCTGTCACTAAGCAGTGTAGTCATGAGACGCTGCATTTTATGACCATTCACTTAACAACAGCAATTCCAGTCTCAACTGATCTCATTAACCAAGGGCTAATTGTATTTAAAACAAAATGCCATCTGAAACATAAAGGCATCTGAAACTTAAAAATTTAAAACTTAAAACTGTAACTTTAAAGAAAATAACATTTTCAAGGGTAATATACAGGTTACCTTCACAAACCTCCCTCATAGAGAAGGAGGTTGTCTGATTGATGTAGCCACCAACTCCAGTGAGAGATGTAATACTGCCAATGAGCGTTTTAACATTTGTATCCACTGTGTAAGAACCTATGCTGTTATCATCCCATTTATCACAGATGCTTTCTACCTGCAAAAGGGAACAAACTAATGTTTTTATTGACGAGAATTTTGGTGGGATGAGTGCAACCTTTTAAAAACATTTGTATTCATGGCCTGAATCACATCATGGCGTCATTCTAAAGATAAAAATAAGGACCTGAAAGCTAGGTCAACAAAATGGCAATCAAGCCCAACTGAAAGCTGAAATCAGTATCTCCTGGACATGTGGGACTATTCTTACAATTCCTAGACAGTCCTGGAGTAGAGCAGACAGCTCTAAGGCAGTCAGGCTCAATCAGCTACAAAACAGGAATTCACTAAGTTGCAGGTTATCATGGAGAGAATGAATGTACATATAGATACCTCTGAGAAACATACTCAATGAAATGTTGAACATGTGAATAAAACCACCTCACAAAAACATCAGAATGACATCATGTCCTGTAGACAAAGATCTACAGCACTGAAAGCAAACATAGATACTGCTTAAGAGATCTGAAGGGATTAGGTAGTTTTTATTTCATCTATGCAATGAAGGCTATTGGATCTTCAAATCTCTTGACACAAGACAGCAGGTACTCCACCTAAGGATGTTTTTATCAGGTAGATACCATAAATGATAAAAGACAACTGGGTGTGAAACAGAAAAGAAAGATCCTTTAGCTTCCAATCTAAAAAAAGGTATTTGTTCCAATAGAAGAGAATGTATGTACAGTAGTTCAGGGTTGAAATGTGGAGTCTTTGGTGCTGAGTTTGGATGTTTGTTTGCAGATGTTTCATTACCTGGGTAATGAAAGTCTGCAAGCAAACAACCAAGCTCAGAGAGCACCAAGGACTCCCCAAGGTTGTATGTTTTCTAACACTTGTCAAAACATGGAAGGCAGCTGAAATCTTTCAATAACCAATCACAATATGCATTTAAGCCACTGAGAAATAATTTGCCAAGCCAGCTAAGATTTTAAAGCAGCCAGGAGAGCATTGCCATTCATCATTCATACTGACAGACTAGATCTTCCATCTTGTTTAACTACTGCAGAGATATTTGTGAGATGCAAGGGAAATTAGGCCCCTTCTCAACTCCATACTGGTGATTATACCTGTTTAAGCTTTGGTGGAGCAGATAAAATGGACACTTAACTTCCCCTTCTTAAAACATTGCCTATAGATGATACTGCTGCAGTACTAGAGCATACTGTGTTGATATTTTATATGCAAGATGACTGTGAAGTTAGTTGGCTACTTAAAACTGTGGTGTCTATCACCTTTCTTCCAATGAGGATTGTATGGAAGTCTATTTTTCCACATCAGGAAGTGCTTTCTAGTCAGTGTGTCAAGAAGATTGTTTGTAAAATCAAAAAAGCACAAATTTACATTTTCTTATTTTGTATTACTGCCTTGTCAGATCTCTTTGGTTGGTCTTTGATTTTTATTGTTAGTTGTTTCTTTGAGTGTTTAGTTTGCTTTGCTTCAGTGTTCTATGATATTTCTGTTTCCAAAAGAATTGATCAAAGATAGGCTGCTAGCAACATCCTGCCATTTTATGGAAAATGTCATTCTGGTGTTTCTCCCTGTACTGGGTGCTATTCTGCTGGGTTGTTTTTCTGCACCCTTCCCCGCCCCCCACCCTATTTATCTATTTAGAAGAATTGCAGCAAGCTTCTAAAGGCATATTCTTATCTAAAACCTATTTTACTTGCCCTTTCCTACCAAAGGGAAATATCACTCATCCGCCACTAATCTTATCAATAATAAACTGAGTGATCTTCAACTTGTGCACTACGTCTGCCCCCTACTGGACCTGAAAGTATTCCTCCATCTGCAGTGTTAGCGCTTGCCTGTGTCACTGTATTTTTATACACAAACACACTTGCAGCCTATTTACATTCTTCATTCCTGTGGTATCTAAAATTATGCTTTTTCTAGAAGTGAACAACATTTCACAGTCTTTGGAGGCAAGCTCCCAGAAAACTGCTAGTTCTGTACAGTATAAAGGATAAGGAACTCCAGATGATTAAATAGTAGTAACAAAAACAAAACGAACCCATACGTTTAAATGATTAACACTACCCATACTCTATTTTTATCAGGAAATTTGGGGTGCATGTATTCCTCTTTTCTGACAATTTCTTCCCTTTTGAAAATATCTGATCCAGGTTATTCTGCCTTTGTCTAAATTTGAAATCTCTTCCCTGATGCATCTCAGTCAAAATAATACAGATTAT